CTGTTGAGCACTCCTTTGGATGAAGTGCAGTGTGTTAACTTCCTTCTTCAGATATGTTTACTTGCTCTCAAACTTATAAAAATGTCTCTTTCTGGAGGCTTTCCCTCACACCTGCAGAGCAGCTCTGACTCATCCTCCCAGGCAGGTTCACAGATTCTTATACCTGAGGACATGCGACCAGAACAGTGTCTGCACCTGTTAGGATCATCAGTTTTAAAAATGCAAACCAGGAACTGAATGCAGTCAATGGAACTATTTCTGATTACATTAGAGGTCTGATACTAACCTGCTTTAGAGCTGAAGAAGCTTCATGGATGAGAAGAAGCTGATCAGACATCTGATAATTTTTATCAGACAAAAGTGTTAATAAACACTCCGTGGGTTGTGTGTGTGTGAGAGACTCTTATTGTGAAGGACTGAATGTTCTTAGTTCCTCTGTGGATGCGGCCACGGAGCAGACAGCACCTATACCAATAACGTATCTCCTTATTTAATGACCTTTCTTTTAGAAACAGTACACTGACTTTTCATTAGCTTTCTAACTTTAATCTCAACACCACATCCTCGTTTTTATCGGTTTTCTTTGATGTGGTGCTAACTTGTTGTTTGAGCAGTTTATGACTTCTTTATTTTGTTTAAATGTATTTAATGTCTTAATGTTTCTTAAACTGAACATTCAAAACTAGCAGTTGCATCACAGAGAAGCCAGACCACGAGAGGGCGCCATTGACCAAATCTGTTTTCACCATCGACATATAAATATTGGACAATGGGTTTCCATAGCCTCCAATAACACATTTTTGAAGATAAATGGGAGGTGGCCACCACCGCCATTTTGACCGTGTCGCAGGTTCCGTCAAGCCCAGACAATTCCACAAAAGGGAAGAGAGGTGGAGCTGAGGGTGGGGCTGTAAGGCTGGGATCAACTGACGACACCGGTGGAACTAGCTACAAGCTAACCTGAAGCTAACCCAAAGCTAACACGGAGGTGGGAGCTAAGCTAATGGAGGTAGCAACCTAGCTACAACCGGAGTTAACTGTGCACAACACCAGAGCTTCTGAGTCAGAGATACGCCGGGCTGACTGCTGGGTAAAACCGGGTGGAACACAGAGGTCTCCGAGACCTCCACAAGCCGGCAGCCGCACAGCAGACAGAAGCCGCGATCAGACAGAGACGCGCCGAGCTGCGGGGAGGGGAGAACGGGTGGAAAACATCAGTCTCCCGAGAGCTCCACAAGCCGATAGTGGGAACCCAGCTCCACCAACATGTTATATTTCAACCCATTTTCTAAAGTGCAGCATTATGTTAAATGCACTGGGTTTTACCCTATTACATTTAAATTTCATGGTTAAACAGTACATGTTAAAATCTAAGCTCAGCTCGGCAGTGACCTAAAATACATAAATATAATCTTACTTACCGAAAAAAAAGAAATGGAGACTCCTTGGACGCTCTATTAGTGCAATTAATGCCACAGCAAGTCATTTTGTCCAACAATTACACAAATAATATCCAAAACAGAATACACACACACACACAGAGACTCAAAATCCCGGAGCAGTTTCCAGGCCAGACCGAGGCTTAACTGAGGCCTTTCCACGGAGCTAGCTCTGTGGTCACGTGGGTCTGATGCTCATTAATCATACAGAATTTTAGGCTTTTAATACACTTAAACAGAAGAGTGAGAAAAAAATTCACCCCCCCTCAGAGTTGTCATGAGTGTAAACTAGATCATTTAAACCTAAAACATGTTTTGGAACCAGGCTGTAAACATGTTTATTTCTGCTGTGAAATAGGTATTTTTAACATGGGAGTCAATGAGGATTTGCTCACTTCTGACACCAGCCCCTAGTGGATGAGGGTGGAACTGCAATTTTTGGTACTTCCGGAATTGCTTCAATTTTTGAGCTGCATTGTGGGGGCTTGTCATTTCCCACTAGCATCAGCTCCACATGTTCTATTGACTCTTTGCACCGACGTCACCTAATCACGTGGGTCCACCATGCTGGACGGCAAAAGCATGTAAACAGTGAGCGACACGATTACTAAACAAAGGGAAAAGTAGAGCCTCAAATTGTTTTTGCGATCAAAACAAAAACAAAACTCCTCCAGCATTCCTTCCACTAGTTAATGCCCAGTTCAGTTATCAGAAGAAGTAGCGCATCTAGCGGGGGCTCATAGAGAGCGGTATGCTAACTAGCTTACCAACGATAGCTTACGTTCTCTCTGCAGCTGTTCACCGATGTAAACATGCTGCTGACTTTGCCTAAATTCACCTCTCTGGATTTATAACTTTATGTTATAAACAGCGTTTCACTTTACACCAAAGCTGATTGTTAAAAAGTCCGGATCCCTACCAGCTTCTGTTGCTGGTGGTGTTAGCGGGTTCAGCTGCTGCTCTCACACCGGAATGAGAAGATCTCTGAACGCCGACGCTCATATAAATAAATAAATAACGTAATTTTAACACACATAATCATACATCGGAGCTTTAATATTGTTAATTATCTTGCTTTACACTACAGTGGACGGAGCGCAGCCTCCGTGGTAAAATACCCGTCCATCAGGATTATCAATAACTAGTATAAACACACCACATTTATCCCTGTCCCTGTCTTCCTCGTGAAATAAATAAACGTTAATCTTACCCGCTAAAAACATGTTCGCTGCAAATCTGAGGCCTGCTAGTCCGCTTGATTGATCGCTGCAGTTCATCTCCGTCCTCAGTCTCCATCAGAGTTATTAAAACAACAAAACGAGTTGAGTTCACATCCTTGTCTCTTAGTGCAGACAACCACGAAGCAAGCTAAAACCATTTTACTGTCCAATCAGATGCATGGGCTGCATGGTGGTGCAGTTGTTAGCACTGTTGCCTCGCAGCACGAAGGTTGCAGGTTCGAAACTTGGCTGCAGTCTTTCTGCGTGGAGTTGCGTGTTCTCCCCATGCATGCGTGGGTTTCCTCCGGGTACTCCGGTTTCCCCCACAGATCACAACATGCCCCATAAGTTTTATTGGATAAAAGCATCTGCCATATAAATAAACATAAATGTAAATAAAAGTGATAAAAGGCCACGAACTGGCTTCTTTTGACTACCTTCACTTGAGTTTCAACCGGTGTAAATGGTCTTTTTGCCATCCATCATGGCGAAGGGGGCGGTTACATGAGTGGCGTGACGTCACGTGCAAAGGGTCAATAGCATAGAGTGTGTCCACATTAGCATAGCCTGACTGTTTTCAGCCCTCTTCCCAAGGTGGTCTGCTTCAGGCTGACCTGTGCCAACACACCCACCCAAATACACACCTTCATTAGGGGAAGCCTCTGATTGGTGGGTAGAATCAGCCCAGATTCTACCCACCAATCAGAGGCTTCCCCTAATGAACACTCACAGCCCCTTGATTGATTGTCATGCTGATCGCCTAGGAGCTGAGAACATCACTGAGTGTGTTTACATGCAGCCAGTAACCCTTTTAAAACCCGAATATTCACAATAACCCGGTTCTGCAGGTCCTTGTAAACACCGCCAAAAACCCGGATATGCTCATAACTGGTTACTACACTTGGGGTAACCCTTTTCTAACCCGAATGTTTGGTCATGTAAACGCATATCCGGGATATCCCCATCAAAGCGTGTGTTCTGCCCATGCTCTGTTCGCAAGGAATCTTGGTCTTTTGAGTAGTGAGATGTCTTGTATGCGCCAGAACACCGGAAGTAAACAACAAGTTGGGAGCAACATGGCGAGTCGCAGCACAGCACCACACTTTTGGAGTGACGAGGAAACTAAAGCACAAACAAACGCGGTCGCTATCTCTTCCGAACTGGGAAACATGTTGCTGTTTTCACGGATACCGGAACGAGAAGAACCGGAAATGATGCATATTGCATCTGGACGTAGTCCATACGTCCTGATGCTACCCAACGTCCGCATTTAAATCGGGTTATGCAAGTTAGAGGTAACTCTTTCTATTTATGCTTGTAAACGGGTTATTCTGATCAACTCAGAAACCCGAATACCGACCTTTACCCGATCATAACCCGGATATTGGCTGCATGTAAACGTAGTCTCTGACTGCATTCCTTGCATGCATGGACGTAATTTTCACTTTAGAAGTGGTGGTGGGGTGGGGGTGGGGGGGACATGGGGGGGGGGGGATCTTTACAGTATGCTCTAATGGCAAACAGGCTTCAACACAAAATGTTGTTTTCTGCTTGGTCCTAGAGCTCAACCAGTGTCAATTTAATATAGCGTAATATTGTTTTTGGATGGTAAAAAGTGCAGGGGTCAAAACTTGACTGGAAAAGGTGGGGGGGACATGCCCCCCCCCCCCCCAAAAAAAAAATTACGTCCATGCTTGCATGAAATCAAGGCTGTGGTTGGCTAGGGCTATCCGGGCGGTGTGGAGCCGACGCTCGTGGGAAAGAGGCTTTAGAAATGGGAAATCCTCCTTTTGTCGTTCTTGTGTCTCTAGTACGAATAAATGTGTGTGAGTCCTTTTCTGTGGAAATCAAAGCTCTGGTGTGGGGTTGTCGAGGTGGGGTGGGTGGGATTACAATCCTGGCTCATTAATATTCATGATATGTAAACATCCCACCTCTGGTTGTCAACGTGACTCTTCTGCTTTAACCAACTCAGAATGTTGGACCAACGGGTCTTATTTACTTGAGCCCGAGTCTGAAGAGGAAGGAGAAAAAGAAGAACCGCTTCCTGGTCCGTCTGCACATTTCAGATTTGTGACGTTTGCTTGAGAGCTTTTGTTTTCTCCTTGATGAGCAGAACGTTGGTGATCATCGTCATGATGCTCAACAGTAAACAGAAGCACAATCTTCTCCTTTTTTGTGGGCGGTCTCAAGCCAAATTGGGCGGGGCTACAAACACAAATTTTGCCTGTGACGTTGAAGAGCCTGGCTGTTTCTGACCCGATCTTCTGCTGGTGGTGGGGCTTGAGCGTGCATGTGCAGCTCAGCACGGGACCAGACCAGAGACAGTGGTTTATTTCTCCTCATAAAGAGGTTGACTCTGGCCCCTTATTGGCTAAACCTTTGGTCAGATTGTGCTGAGTCAGCATTTACTGAATAAACACCAGAACCCTGGAACAGATTTCACCACACAGTGTTTATTTGGACCAAATCAGAACAGTTTGTTTCCTGACCCCATGTTGACGGTGAAGCTGTTGAAGACGACGCAGACTTCTTTCTGTTTGGGAGTCATCATCTGACCTGGACCAGTGGCTTGCTCACAGGGATCGGATCAACATTTCTTCACTGTGGGAATTCCCGAGCTCTGTTGAGAAATCCGCCCCCTCCCCTTCCCGTCTTGGTGCTGTTTGTTATATGACCCGAGGAGTTCTGGTGCTGGACCAGAGGAGAGGGCGTCTCATCATGGAGGTAAAACCCAACTCTGCTTTATTATATGTTGGTAGAAGTTTGTTGTTATCCATAAATCTTCTGGTTCGTGTTAAATCAGACCTTCTCTTTGTCCACAGCTGAATCTGGCTGCTGTTCTTCTGTTCTCACTGGCTTCTCTGTCAGCGCTAAGGTGAGCGTCACCACGCTTTACATTCTCTCACAATTTATTGTCTCACTTACATTTTGTTTTATTTTCCATTTTTTGCAATCCTGAGATGCTTGATCAGAACTTAAAGTCGTGTTTCATGAAAACGTTTTTTACGGTGGCCGTGAGTTTTTGGAAAGGCGCCTTCATTAAAATGTAATTATTATTGTAATTACTAATATTTCAGTGTTTCCTCCTTCCAGCTGTCAGCAGCCTATAAACTGCAGATGGGGGTCGTTTGGAGGCTGGTCAGAGTGTGATGGCTGCACACGCACAAAGGTACCAGATCACTTGCATCAGGGTGCAAAAGCTTCTTTGCTAAAATCAAATTCAAGCACGTTTCCACGGCAGCACTTTTGTTTTCACAGTACCTTACACCATTTACGTTTGCATGAGCAGTAAGCACCAAAGGGGTCCTAAAAGTTGAAAATGTAACATAAAAATCTGAAGACACAATGAATTCAAACAGCCATAAAAAAACATGATGCAAACATTTCAGGTAAATATGCAAAAAATAAAAAAATAGAGGGGAAAAAAATCAGGATTAAGTTTAAAAATTTACTTCTTGGTTTTCCGTAAAATAATTAGCGAGTCAATAATGAGTCAACCCAGCCAAGGATCCAGTGGGGAACCTCTCCCCCAGTCAGCGGCTCCGCCTCTGGAGCCTCCAGCGGCCCCACCTTCTGCAGGCCTGCCTCCAGCGGCTCTAGAGACCCTGCCTCCAGGTGAGTCAGCATCACCTCCTCGCCTCCAGTCGAGTCAGCAGCTTTGCTTCCAGTCGAGTCAGCATCACCGCCTCCATTCGAGTCAGCGGTTTCACCTGCTGCGGCCCCACCTCCAGTCGAGTCAGTGTCACTGCCTACAGCGGCCCTGCCTCCAGTTGAGTCAGCATCACCTCCTCGCCTCCAGTCGAGTCAGTGTCACTGTCTGTAGCGGCCCCACCTCCAACTGAGTCAGCGGCTTTGCCTCCTGTCAAGTCAGCGTCACCACCTCCAGTCGAGTCAGCGGCTTTGCCTCCTGTCAAGTCAGCGTCACCACCTCCAGTCGAGTCAGCGGCTTTGACTCCAGTCGAGTCAGCGGCTTTGCCTCCAGTCGAGTCAGCGTCACCGCCTCCAGTCGAGTCAGCGGCTTTGCCTCCAGTCGAGTCAGTGGCTTTGCCTCCAGTCGAGTCAGCGTCACCGCCTCCAGTCGAGTCAGCGGCTTTGCCTCCAGTCGAGTCAGCGGCTTTGCCTCCAGTCGAGTCAGCGGCTTTGCCTCTAGTCGAGTCAGCGGCTTTGCCTCCAGTCGAGTCAGCGGCTTTGCCTCCAGTCGAGTCAGCGGCTTTGCCTCCAGTCGAGTCAGCGGCTTTGCCTCCAGTTGAGTCAGCAGCTTTGCCTCCAGTCGAGTCAGCGTCACCATCTCCAGTCGAGTCAACGGCTTCGCCTGCTGTGGCTTCGCCTCCAGTCGAGTCAGCGGCTTTGCCTCCAGTCGAGTCAGCGTCACCGCCTCCAGTCGAGTCAGCGGCTTTGCCTCCAGTCGAGTCAACGGCTTTGCCTCCAGTCGAGTCAGCGTCACCGCCTCCGTTCGAGTCAGCGGTTTCACCTGCTGCGGCCCCGCCTCCAGTCGAGTCAGTGTCACTGCAGCGGCCCAGCCTCCAGTCGAGTCAGCGGCTTCGCCTCCAGTTGAGTCAGCGTCAACGCTGCAGGTGACGGCGCCTCCAGTCGAGTCAGTGTCACCGCCTCCAATCGAGTCAGCGTCACCGCCTCCAGTCGAGTCAGCGGCTTCGCCTGCTGCGGCTTCGACTCCAGTCGAATCAGCGTCACCGCTGCAGGCGACAACGCCTCCAGAGACTCTACTTCCAGCGGTTCCGCCTTCCGTGGGCCTGCCTCCAGAGACTCCGCCTCCAGTCACTGCCAGCCCTGCCCTCGCCAGACGCCCGCCCCCCAGACTCCATCTTGGCCTGCGTTGGGCGTCCGGTGCCGCCCTTTAACCTGTCCTGTCTCCTCACTCTGTTCAGTCCTGTCTCTCCTGATGTCTCCCAATCACTCTAGATCCCAGCTCCTCCCCCTCCCAGTTCTGCGTTCCTTGTCTGTCCACTGTTTTCATGTCCCGCGTGTTCCTTATTAAAACCCCTCTAAACGTTCCTTCTTCCCCGCAGTTGGATCCTCACCTCCGCCTCACTCACCTTCGCACCCGTGACAATATGATTATTATTTCATATTAAAAGCTTTAAGCAGTCATTGATATAATTTCTTTCTATTGTCCTAAAGTGTTTAAACCCTTTTTCACACGGCGCCAACAAAACAAACAGGGTGAGCTCACAGGGGCACAAATTCTACAGAAGATTACAAATCCGGTTTGGTTTCTAATCTCTTAAACCTCGTTTGACCAGAACATGCCATCTGAAGGTTACCCTACTGACTTCTGACACACATTTGTGTAAAAAACTCAAGCAGAGCAGATGGATGAAGCAACTCAGCTTCCTGATTGGCTGTTTAGAGATTCGTTAGAGGAGACCAGTAAAAGTAAAGGACCAAGAGGCGTTCTAGAACATTCACTTAACACAGTTCATGTGTAATCTTCACTGGTTTCCTTCTGTGAGAACGTCTCGTATTCTGGAACAGTGAAGGTTAGAGGGACCCACAGTAAGATTTATCTGTTGTTTAAAAGACGTTCAAATAAATCTGTTGCAGAATTCCTGTTTTATTTTTCAAACTTGCTTCAGAACTAGTTCAGTTTGATTTATTTATGAAGCTTCAATCCATTGTGCAAGTGTATGAGTGGAGATACAGTGGGGCAAAAAAGTATTTAGTCAGCCACCGATTGTGCAAGTTCTCCCACTTAAAATGATGACAGAGGTCAGTAATTTACATCATAGGTACACTTCAACTGTGAGAGACGGAATGTGGAAAAATAAATCCATGAATTCGCATGGTAGGATTTTTTAAGAATTTATTTGTAAATCAGGGTGGAAAATAAGTATTTGGTCACTTCAAACAAGGAAAATCTCTGGCTCTCACAGACCTGTAACGTCTTCTTTAAGAAGCTTTTCTGTCCTCCACTCATTACCTGTATTAATGGCACCTGTTTGAACTCATTATCTGTGGCCAGGATGGCGGCGTTCACAGCCTCAAACAGTCAGACTCCAAACTCCACTATGGCCAAGACCAAAGAGGACACCAGGAAAAGAATTGTAGACCTGCACACGACTGGGAAGAGTGAATTTACAGTAGGCAAGCAGCTTGGTGTGAAAAAATCAACTGTGGGAGCAATTATCAGAAAATGGAAGACATACAAGACCACTGATAATCTCCCTCGATCTGGGGCTCCACGCAAGATCTCATCCCGTGGGGTGAAAATGATCATGAGAACGGTGAGCACGAATCCCAGAACCACACGAGGGGACCTGGTGAATGACCTGCTGAGAGCTGGTACCACAATAACAAAGGTCACCATCAGTAACACACTACAACGGCAGGGAATCAAATCCTGCAGTACCAGATGTGTTCCGCTGCTGAAGCCAGTGCATGTCCAGACCCGTCTGAAGTTTGCCAGAGAGCACATGGATGATACAGCAGAGGATTGGGAGAATGTCATGTGGTCAGATGAAACCAAAGTAGAACTTTTTGGTATAAACTCAACTTGTCGTGTTTGGAGGAAGAAGAATACTGAGTTGCATCCCAAGAACACCATACCTACTGTGAAGCATGGGGGTGGGAACATCATGCGTTGGGGCTGTTTTTCTGCTAAGGGGACAGGACGACTGATCCGTGTTAAGGACAGAATGAATGGGGCCATGTATCGTGGGATTCTGAGCCAAAACCTCCTTCCATCAGTGAGAGCTTTGAAGATGAAACATGGCTGGGTCTTCCAACACGACAATGATCCCAAACACACCGCCCGGGCAACAAAGAAGTGGCTCCGTAAGAAGCATTTGAAAGTCCTGGAGTGGCCTAGCCAGTCTCCAGACCTCAACCCCATAGAAAATCTGTGGAGGGAGTTGAAAGTCCATGTTGCTCGGCGACAGCCCCAAAACATCACTGCTCTCGAGAAGATCACCGCTCTAAACAAGTCCAGGTTCCCAGTAAGTTCATAAAAAGTGTGTTCGATCTTTAAGCGAGCTTCCACCAGGCCCTTCAGGCTCTGCTCAGCATCAGTCCAGCTCTGTCCCAGAATCTGGTTTTTCCTGGTTTTCCAAATTGCTAGTTTTGCACATGCAAATAAAAAGTTAAATAACAATATAGTCCGTTTTTTTCTGACATTGTACTTGGGCCCGAAAACAAATAAGGGTAGGGTAAAAGCCACCCCCAGTGCACTAACCCACCGTTCTAAAACCCTGAACATCCCTGATAACCTAGAACATGCTACCACCAGATGCTCTAGGGTCTCTGTTTGGTTACAGAAAGGACATCCCTCCCCGGTGCTTGGATCAAAGCGGGCTCTGGTTCTGTTCGTAGCTAAAGCTCCATGTATGATCCTCCACTGGAGGTCTGCCATCCTTTTGTTCACTGGAGACTTATACAAACTTCTCCAGCTGCCCCCAGGGGCACGGTCCGCAGCAAACACCTGAGTCCACCTCGACTCCTAACAAGGAGCGCCTATTGATAACCTTCACACAAGTGTGATAGATCTGTTTCTTCCCACAAGACTGGAAGGAGCCCAACACTGGAGTGTTCAGGTTCAGCAGTGATCCACTCTCCTCCTGCCATCCCTCACCAGCTGCTTTAAACTCCAGAGACGGAAAAACTTACTCACTGTCATCATCCCATTGGTCAGATAGAGTACAAGTCTCAACAAAGGCTCTCTGCGACACAGACAAGGACCTCCGTACCTTCTCCACCACAAGAGGAGGGGAGAGATCTGCCATACTAAATCCATCACTGTTACATTTAAATATGATGTGAAAACCAATCAAGCCCGCTCACTAGAGTAAAACGTTCATGTTTCTTCTCAGGTACAAACTCGTCGTGTGGACGTATTTGCTCAGTTTGGGGGGACCCCGTGTCCTGGAGGAGCCTCTCAAACACAGTCATGTGTACCCCAGAAGACATGTCCTGTTGCAACAGGCTGTGGAGACAGATTCCGCTGCACCTCTGGTACTAGCCGTGAACAAAATCAGATCATGTTGCTATGAAGCTTCCTGAAATGCACAGTAAAGTCAAACGTTTCCTCCATCCTGGTTCAGGTCAGTGTATCAGCCAGTCTCTGGTGTGTAACGGAGACCAGGACTGCGAGGACGGGCTGGATGAGCGAAACTGTGGCCAAGATGGCGGCGTGTACTCCTGCGATCTAGACAAAGTACCTCCAAACTCTGACATTACAGGGAAGGGGTGAGTAGAGTGTCGTTCCCCCCCCCCCCCCCCCCCCCCCCCCCACACACACACCTTTACTCCTGAACTGTTTGCTATGCCTCACAGATATGATGTGCTAACTGGAAAGCTGAAATCCGGTGTGATCACCACCACGAGTTTTGGAGGACAGTGCAGGAAGGTCTTCAGCGGGGACCACCAGGTGATGTACCGACTGCCTCAGAACATCCTCAGGTACAACTTTGAGGTGAGTGAAACTCCTGGTTGGGCAGTTAGAAAAAAGCCTTGTTTAGATGTCTGTAACTAAAATAATAACAGTGAAAATAACCAGCTCATAAAGGTCGTCTTGAGTCTTTTTTTCCAGACAAAATTTCTTTTTTAAGTGAGTTTTTGTAAATGTTTTGGAGGTTGCACCCCCCCCCCCCCCCCACCCCCACCCCCCAGTTTTAGACCTTATTTCATATGATTCCTTAAGTTAGGAGTATTCAATCCTGGTCCTGGAGGGCTGGTATCCAGCACATTTTAGTGGTTTCTCTGCTCCAACACACTTGATTCAGTGGTTGAATCACCTGTGCAGCAGCTCATCAGGCTCTGCAGAAGCCTGTTAATCACCTGCTGATTGAAATCAGGCGTGTTGAAGCGGTTAAAACTAAAACCTGTTGTTTTGCTTTTTGTTAACTAACTCCTTCTAGACCCACAAACTCACCTCAAACTGGGTCTGGCCTTAGGCCCGGTTCACACCACATTCCAACTATCTGATGAACCCCAGCCCCTAAAGCACCCGTATGTAGCATCAAGATTAGTACCTTCATCATTCACCACACCACATCGAGCCCGGTCCATGTCTAGTGCTCATTTGCTACCAGCATTCTTTCACAGATGCAGTTGGTTCAACTGTTTTCACCAACAAGGCCAAAAGAAAAGTGATGAACAGATATAAAGTAATTCCTCTGCACATAGAAATGTTCAGGTTTTGTGTCCAGTAATGAGAGCGAGTGTAACCGAGTCAACAGAGGTGTAGGAGTTTGTAAATGTAGTGCTTTAAGAGCTTAATATATTACCTCTACTTATGACCAATAAGCTGTGATACTCTATATAAATATAGAATATCACCCTGCTTGGTCTTTGGCTGTTTAATCAGAAGATTCTAGGATTCGTGTTCATTCAGGGATTGTAAACACTTCGTCTTGATTCAAGAAAAGATTCAGGTTCATAAAAAGTAGGAATTTATTTTCCAAACAATTAAAACACGACAAGTTATCTAATATTACTGTGATGGATGGATCTAGGTGGATGAGATGTGATGTATGGTGCCTGCGTGTGAATGTGATGTTATCAGAACTTTCGTATCTAGGAAAGCTGAGTTCTGGGTGAAAAAGGGAAAGAGTTTGGTTTGCGTTAAGCTATGGAGTTGATTATTATCAAAAAGGCATCAGACGCTATCTGCGTGTCTACTTCACCCTTTCCTGGAGATCCTCTTCGTGGATCCGAAGGTCAGGGAGGTCGCATGACCTCTGGGCACCGAGGGCTGTAGAATAACCGCAGCACCAATTCTTCAGTCCAGAGACGTTTCCGGGTCACAACAGATGGATGGAACCATTGCGTCTAGACGGACGCTTAAAGGTTGGTTTATGCTTATGCGTCCGCGAGGTCTGCACAGCTCCGCGCGGCGAAACTGCGTCATTTTAACAACCACGCCCCTCCACCGCGCCTCCGCACGGCCCAAAATATCCGCAACGCGCACCTAGGAAAATTTCTAACCACGCGGACGGTTGGACGCGGAAAAACATGGTGGACCGGCAAGAACTAGTATGGCAGAGGTTCGTAAATACAGACATTTGTATGATTCAGCTCTCAGAGATCACCGTGATCAACATGTTGTTAATAATTCTTGGAGAGAAATAGCTCGCACTGTCGGAAAAGATGAGGACGCTGTTAAAAATGCTAAAATGCCATGTTGTAAACAGTAATTTTTACTTCTACTATGGTGTAGTGTTGGATGCATGCCGTAGAGCTCCATGCTGCCCCCTACAGTTTGGGAGAATATTGGCTCACCGCAGAGACAAGCCGCACGAACCATAAACGCTGCGAGTTGTGAAGCGCGTTCCATCCACGAGCCGCATCACCAAGCGGAAAGTAAATGTGTCAAGCATAAACCAAGCTTTAGGAGTCAGAACAATATCAGCATTGTTCTGCAGGAACCGTTTGCTGTGTCAGCGGTAGGCAGCGTTTAGCAGGGTTTTGGCAGCTTGCCAGAAATGCTCAGGGTTAAAGAGGTGTCGCTCCGGACGGCCGTTCCGTAGCGTTCTCTAGAACTGAATGCTGAATGATGGAAAGCTGGAATGCCACTCTGAATCACCTGAGTGATTCTGTTTTAATATTCTCATGTTATGAATTCTTGGCCAATCGGAACGTGCCATGTTAAGGGATATTACCAAGACAACCTCAGACATCACGCCTTCCTGAGATACCGGGTGCTCTGATCTGGAGTAAGGAAATATCTATGTGTCATGAGTTTAACTTAACTTTAATTTGTCCTTGTGTCTGGGTGCGGGTGACGATTGCCTTGTCATATCAAACATTACTGATTACAATATATATAAATCAATGTAATGCTTCATTTCAGTTCAGTAATTCAAGCACTGATCAATCAAAACATTATCATTATCCATATAACATTTGTTAATTTAATTTCATGAAAACGTTCACTTTATTCAGAGAGTGGCACCCCTGCGGTGTTATCAAAGAAGGCTTTGTTTGGGAACACAGGCTGACATCGTGTTCCCCCTGAAATGTCAACACGGTTGCGGTATCCTTCTGGACTTGTAGGGAGATAGAGCATAAAATCCACCTTGGAGAATAGAATCAGGTCTGCTGATGACCGGTGGCATGTAGGTGAAAACTGACCATTTCTGGACTTTACAGAGGATTAGGAAGTAAATTAGAAAGGATGGTTGAACTGTGTTGGGTTTGGTGTGCTGCAGGTGCAAGCAGACAACGAGGAGAGTGACGAGTCCTACGAGAGCTCCTGGTCCTACATTCAACACATTCAGTCCAACGCACTGATTGGACATGACCGCCGCTCTTTCCACAAAGAGCTCACCGACAACAAGGTGAACGTTTTACCTGATCGTCTTCCGAAGATAAGATCTCCCTCCCTTTTCTGGTGTTACCCCTGCCCCCTCAGTCAGGAATGATGTCAGCACTTTTGTTTAAGTAATGGATCAATGTCACCTTTTGGTATGGGTTCAACTGCAGATTCATTTTACGTCAGCGGGATTCTAACAGGTCATTAGGTCGGCCACAAAAACCATCAAAACAAACTTCTGAAGTCTTTAAAAGCCAAGAACTGGCTTGGGGCAAGAGGAGACTCGTTGCTGTAGTTAGCTATGTTTACAGGAAGTAAACGTTCACTAACAATTGGCTGCATGGAACAACAGGCGGTTAAAGAAAGAAGCAAGAAGGCCTTGAGTTCAAGTCTTACCTCCACCTCCCGGAGTTGAGTCTGCATGTGTCTTCCTGGTCCACAAACCAAACACATGCACATTAGGCTGATAGAGCACGTCTGTGAACAGCTGCCGGTCTGAATACGGTCCTGCTACAGGCCGGTCGCCTAAGCAGGTGTCCCTCACCTCTTGCCCAATGATTGCTATGGTTGGACACCAGACTCATGGTGCTCCTACATCCCACAGACAATAGGGTTTATGCCACGTACCTCCGGCTTGACGCTTCATGGCTGTGTTATTCTGCAGCAGTAGCGTTAGTGTTAGCTATGGCTCAAGATTTAACAAGTACAGTAAACAACAAAGACCAGCTGATCCAGGCCAAATCAAAGACGTTTGAATAAAAAGACTAAAACCTGATTTATGCTTCTCCGTCTGCGTCAGCGCGGAGACACGCAACGCCATTATCCGTCCTTGTGTAGGGTTCCGGCAGGCACGCAAGTACGTACGGAGTCGAGCCCACTTTTTTAAACATCCGTCGAACGAAACGGATTACACAAGCTTGTGATTGGTGTAGCGTTAGGAAGTATAATGGTCTGCCCTTAACAGCTGCCCCTTCACACAGTACCATCGCCAAGGTCGGACGCTTGGTTCAGTATGTTTACATTCCAGGAGAAGAGACAGAAGAACAGAAGAACGCTTTTCATTGATTAATCAAAGTACTTTATTTGTGATAAGCTAATCAAAGCATTTGTTGATCATTAATAATCAGGTGAATGATCTGTGAAATAAAGATGTCATGAGTTATGTGTTTAAATGAATAAACAGGGCTGCCCCAGACACACTGATATGCATTACCATGGAAACGCATGACACATTGTTTTCAACCAATCAGAACTTTCGTCTGTGGTAGGGCAGAATCTGGTTTGTTTATGAAAGTAGTCCAATCCAGTTTACTAAGATTCTTAAACAACTGGGAGATATAAAAAGAAGGCAACGCCATTTTAAGTCAGTTCCACGTTACGTTCCACTTTCAGCAGTTACATGTTAAACTCAGCTCCAGGACATCCGAGTTCCTAAGGATTTCCATCATCATCATTAAGAAGTTCAGACTGGCCATTTGTACTTCCTACTTTGAGCTGAAATCTGTCAAGCTGGAGATTTTCCGTCGTTTATACCAACGAGACGACGGTCCTTCAAAATAAGAGTGAACTTGCTGGCGCCTGCCAACCACTAACGGAGTTATCCTCAGACGGGCGTTGTGTGCTGTGACCGCTGTTTCAACCAGCTCCAGTACAACCGAGGTCTTGGAACCTGGCAATTCCTGATCTACACGGGAGACTCCATCTAAGGTACGGCAATATGGCGGCTCATGTCATCAGCTTCTGAAGCCTCATGGTAGCCTAGTCATAACAACCAGATCCGCTACTCAGCCTAGAGATTCTGAACAAAACACACACACACACACCAACACGAAACATCTAAATCCATATGCATCCATCATTGAGATAGTCCTGGTAGATTGTAAGAATTTATAATTATAGAAATTAAAGATTCTTAAACGATCCCAACTCTCTCTTTTCTTATCTCTCAGTCAATATAAAGTGTTTAAGTAAACTCCCTGATGATAAAAACAACCTCTTCTGATTGATTACTTAGATTGTATAAATATACAAAATCGGGTAATTAAATTATTTAATTACAGTATATAAATATACACTTCAAATTACAACATTGGTCAGGATGCCTCTGTTGTTTACAGTGTCGCGTGCCCGTCCCATTTACCGGTTCTTTTAAAACCCAGTTCCGTTAGAACTTATGAGACGGTGCATCCATCAGGGTTCGAGGGGATGTCGGCGAGTATAATTGTACTAGACCCGGGTTTGGACCATCTAATTAGAATCTTGTCTTTTATTTTAAAGGTGAAATGACTTGCACGAATAGCCAGCCCCAGAGTACTACACTTCTTTTAAACTCGTTACCTTTTGGTTAAGATACTAGAGAGAAGTCTGGAGGCAAGCCAAGCCTCTCAGCAATTGTTTGGATTACCCGGAATTAATTGCGCCTCTAACAGCTTATGTGGGAGATTGGTAACTATAAAATGATTTATGCTAGTTGATCAGGCTATCATAAGTTTATCAATTTATTTATTAATCCAACCTTCCAGCTGATTAGAGACTTTTTCAACCTGCAATCAGAGCCAAAATAACCTCGAATATTCTGCTTTTATCGCCCTTAAGACAACTCGTTACTCACAAGGAGGGGGAAGTTAAAACTTCCCTTATCTTAAGGTTTCTTTATATTATTCTATTATAAACTGTAAAGTAAGTCCAGATAATTCAGAGACCGATCATCGACATGCTTACCTCTGTGCAATTTATGGCCAGGGCTCCAAACGTGAAGCTTTAGAGAAAACCTGAAAGAATCAGGATTATGTTTCTTTTTCAAAAAAGGTTTATTACAAAATCAAAATACAAAAATGGGTAAATAAAAAACAACTGCTATCCCCCAAGGAGGGATTAGTTCAAAATGATTAAGTAAGAGTTAGTTTACACTAGCTCCTGTCTTCTCAGAATCTCCCCAAAAACTGAATCCTTTCCCGATCTGAGCTGCATCCTTTTATATCATTTCTGAGACTGCTCTAAACAATGTAAGAGTCACAAGTCATTCTCTCCTGACAGTTTAGGTCAAGGGGTCATTTACCAAATACACTTTTTTAGCTCTACATAAGACATTTGGTATCATTTTCACTACATGCAGTATTCACATGAGGGCACAAAAGTTACATGCTGCACTCCTGGAATGAGAGCACAGGTCATAAATCTTCATGTTGGTAGCAAATTGTAGATCTTCCCTCAGCATTCTTGAGAGCTTCTGGGTCCAGTTGGACTTTCCTCACTCCATGCCAGTCCTTCTTTTCCCGCCAGAGGTGGAGTTAGGGGCGGGCCCAGGGGTGGGTCCATGGGTGGATCCACAGAAGCCAGCCTGTCTTTTGACCCTTTGCCTAGTTCTGTCCTCACCAGCAAGTCCTGAACTATTGTCCTCTTGACCCTTGTGTGACCCTTGTCTCTGACCACTGTTTCTAAGCCTTGACCGGTTGCTCGGACTTGCAACAACAGCGCCGCCATTGCAAAGAGAGCCGAGGATAACTAGCGGCAGACACGGAGAAGCTTGAAGAATACCTCGCGAAAAAACTCTAAAAATATGAACGTTTCATCCTCCCGTGACTGGAGGAGTGAAAAGATGCACAGCAAGCGTTTTATTTGTGGACGGAAATGACAGGAAACGTGGGTTTAGAGGTGGGGAGCGCATGAAGCGGTGGGAGAATGAGAGACAAATTTGTCCGTGTTAAAAGTCTCTTACATACACAAAAAACACAATATAAACACACTATCTTGGACCGATACATGACAGGATACCACAGAACAGCGCTACGCCCTCTGTGGTCCTGCCGGGCAATTGCTTTGCAACGCTCTCCAGGAGACGGAGAAGTATGAGAGCAAAACGCTTCCATCAATCCGTGTGTGTCTGTCCCTTGCGGAGCTGACGGAGAAGCATAAACCAGGCTTAAGGGTTTAAACTGTATGTGTACACCTATATGCACAACAACAAAGGTCACTCAAACGTCTGTGATTTGAGTCAGTAAATGATATAAAGTCATGGAGAGCGGGTCAGGGTGAGATGCGGTCCTGAGTCATGGCTGGAGAGGTGAATGTGGCGAGAGAACAGGAAGAGGGGTTAAGGGCTTGAAGAACCAGAGATTAACGTTTGCAAAAGGAATTCGCTGGTTAGGCTGTGGAGGTTGATGTGGCAGCAATATGCCCTTTTGGTGTCCAGCCTGCCTTTTTCAAAGGAGAAGAAGAAGGATTAGGAAGGAACCACTCACCTCAGACCTCATGACCACAGACCATGCCAGGGGCAGCTTCAGGTCCATGAGGAAAGCATGAACCTGGACCTGAAGCACTTGGACCCAACTGTGACATCTCCTGACTTTGTTAAAGAGGTGAGAGGTCCTCACTGTGCCAACTAGACTAATGGGCCATTCCCATCTGTACCGGGTCGGTCCGGGCCGGGTAGTCCCAGTCGGCCCCAGCCTGGCCCGGTTGATTCCACACATCCATGTCTTAAGCCCATGTGGGCTGATTCTACCCACCAATCAGAGGCTTGCTCTAATGGAAGGTGTGAATTTGCCGTCAGCAGTGGGTGTGTTGGCCCTGGTCGGCCTGAAGCAGACCCCCTCGAGAAGAGGGCTGAGAATGAGCCTTGGTTGGCCCGGAAAAATACCAGGCCACCCAGATATGTAAACAACCTATGCTACCCGGCCCGGGCCGACCCGGTACAGATGGGAATGGCCCATTAGAAAGATCTAGCATGTGTCATCAGTTAGTAATGCAGAAACTTGTTAGCTGGAGTCGTGCAGTTTAAAACCTTTGTCTTTGTTGATTCGGGCATCTTAGATGTGGCCTGAATACATTTAATGTGACCTCTGACACACATCAGGTGGCTGAAAAGTTAGGAGACGTTAAACCAGAGCTCTGTGGCATCAAGCCTACCGGGATGCAGACTGTTTGGCGTTGAAAGGCAAATGGAGGGATAAGTGATAGATGCAAGGGAACTGGGCTGACCCAAACTCAGTGGGACCAACATGGCCTGATGTCTGTAGTTCTGTACCATAATTTGTGGGTTCCACAATACAGTCTCTCTCTATTCACCATCCAGGCCAACAGACTTATAATCCTGAAGAATAGAGTGGAGCTGGCCCAGTTTCAGAACTCGGCCCCACAGTATCTGACTCTATCTGAAGGCTTCTGGAAGGCCTTGGCCTCGCTGCCGCTCACATATGACCACTCAGCGTACCGCCAGGTACTGCAGACGTACGGCACACACTACCTCTCAGAGGGTACTCTCGGAGGCGAGTACCAAGGCTTGTTGGAGTTGGACCGTCAGACTCATTCATCAGACAGTAAGGACGCGTTTACATGATCTGCACACGTGGTTCTAGATGCTAAAGCCTCAGGAGGAAGAGAGACCTTTTCAGGCACCAAAGTCAGTGATGTCACTGGTCTGATTTTGTCCTCGTTTGTCTGAAGGTGTAACGGACGTCGAGTACCAGAGGTGTTGGAAAAAAGTGAAGCGTTTCCTTTTTGTAAAGAAAGTCAAGGTGACCTGTGAAAGACTGAGGAAACATCTGGAATCCAGCTCTAGTGAGTGAAAGAAGTCGCGTCTCAAAGTCTGATCAGTGAAACAAACGTAATCAGACTGATCCTGAAGCAGCTTTGGCTTGTTTTCTCCACAGGAAGCAACAATAACAAGTTGTCCATCAATGTCAAAGTGTTTGGAGGAGATCCCAGCTTCATAGGAGCTCTTTCCGTTCTGGACCTGCAGAACCCAGAAGCTAATGGTGAAACCTACAATAACTGGGCCTCGTCTGTCAAAGACTTTCCTGACATCATAAACCAGAAGGTAAAAGTCGGAAAATCCTTTCTGCAGGAGGAAAATGTCTCTTTTTACTGGATCAAATGTAATTATTTCTGACATAGCTGCTGCTTTGTGGTTCAGTTGGTAGCACTGTTGCTTCGGAGGTTCGAAACCCAGCTGCATGTAACCCGGGGAGGGGGGGGGGGGGCATCAGATGCAGCACCAATTAGTGCTGATAATGTTGGCTCGTTACAGTTACCTCTATCCCTATCTAATCTAAGCGCGTATTAACGAAGCGTGGACTTGTGTCCCAGCTGAGACCTCTGCATGAGCTGGTGAAGGAGGTCCAGTGTGCCGGTCTGAAGAAACTCCACTTGAAAAGGGCCACAGAGGAGTACCTGGCAGAGCAGCATCCATGCCACTGCCGGCCCTGCCAGAACAACGGGCAGCCTCTGCTGACCGGCACCGAGTGTCGCTGCGCCTGCCAACCCGGAACCTCTGGACCAGCCTGTGAGAGGGGGGCTGTGATTGGAGAACAGCCAGGTAAACCTTGGTGACTGTGCAATAAGGCTGAACAATGCAATCATGTGGTCAGTTGACTGCCATCGCCCCAATATCTACTTTTAATTCACCCAGGGGTGATTCATGGCAGCTGGAGCTGCTGGTCCTCCTGGGGAGCCTGCTCCGGAGGTCAAAGGTCAAGAACCCGAAGCTGTAACAACCCTTCCCCCAGAGGAGGCCATGATTGCACTGGACCTCAGACAGAACAGAAGGCTTGTGAGGACGCAGATATCCAATACTTAAAGTGAGAAAGAAAGAACGTTAGTTATTTATTACAATAATCCTAATCCCAAACCTGAACAGACAACTGTTTGTGCTGCCAAATTAGTGACCAAGCTTCAGAGTTATTACCTAGAGATGAGGTGACCCTGTTGATGTTGTCATGCAGTGGCTGGATGAACCAGTATGAACCAGTATGTCGTCTCTCCTCTCAGGATGATGGAGCCTCAGTGTTTCGGTCTTTCTGTAACTCCACCGAAAACCTGCGGACTTCCTCCAAACCTGAAGAATGGCTTCATTGAGGTGAGATGATGAAACTGACATTATGATCATTATCTGCTTAATTTTTGTTTTTCTCTTGTTTATCAGAGAGGTTTATTAATTTTGCTGAACATTTGTAAATAACTTCAAAAAGAAAAAAAAATGATATAACCCAATGAAGACTAACACTCAGAATGACTTCAGTGAACAATAAACTACCAACCGTTAAACACAGGTATTACTTGTACCTGTTAAAATAAGGGGATGCCACAAGAAAACTACACCTGGATCTCAAAAACGTGACCACCGACTTTTGTTCTCCACTTGGAATTTGAAAAGTTGGTGCTATTCTACAGCTAAGCAAGCTATCCTATATATGTGAATATGGTGTGGCCGCGACCCAGAGACAGATCTCTGTCGTGGGGCAGAATTTACTGCTGTCTTTCAAACCGTCTCCACGTGCTATTGGACAACAATCATGACACACTCACTTAGGCCTGGGCGGTATGGCAAAAATGTCACATCACGGTATTTTTTAAAATTATATCGGTTTTACGGTATTTGGCGGTATTTTTCAACAAGGCCTTGATTACTCAGATTATTTGTATAAGAAAATAATTACTGCACTAGACTGGCCTTAAATAGCCCGTTTTACCTTCATGTGCGGAATACCAGGTTTTCCATGTCCAGTCACAGGTAGGTAAATGCATAAACCCCCTCAAAGTACCCTTGTCAAAAGAAAGCAGTTAAGAAAAAACAACTAGAAAGATAAAATATTGCAGTCAAAATCAACTTTTTATAGATAAAATCAGTGCAGCTAACCATCTTTATGATTTCACATCCAACGTTATTGCGTTGGTTATCTCAACACACCGCTTGCTTTTGGAAAAAAATACACTCCCTTTAGCTAACGCGTCTTTAATGGACATCTGATTCTGACTGCTACTAGCTGTTTTCGCCTTGGAGGTGGAGGGTGCAGATCGAAGCTTGAGACATGCTTGGTATTCCAAGACGTGTTTTCGGCTGAGGTGATGAAGCAAGTTGCTGGTATTACCCCCGCCGGCTACCACCGTTGCTCGACAGCATTGGCATGTAATAGTTGTTTGCTCCACGTCCGAACTTTTAAACCCGGAATACCTCCAAACAACAGATGTGGCTCCTCTTTTTGGAATGTTCTTCTGTGTTTGAAGTTTTGATGTCGCTGTGACAGCTCCCGCCAGCCTCCTTTCTTGGTGTTTGTGTGTAGCAGTGAAATGAGTCCCCACTGAAACACTTTCCTACTACGAATGTTCTGTACGTTGTTTAGGCCATTCACCGGTACAGCGGTATGTGAAAAATTCATATCATAACCAAAATAAACACCGGTTTTTAATATGAACCGGTATACCGCCCAAGACTACACTCACGGCTACAGATGTCAGTCAACAGGGCAGTCCACCATTCACTGTTGAAGAAGATGCAAATACATCCTTTCTCTAAATAAAACACTTCTGTACATCTGTCTGCTCTTGACTCAAACAAAAACTCAAGCCTAAGCAGTTGATAACAAAGCTGTTTCAAACAAGCCGCTTTGTTGTTCCGCTCTGTCACAACATCCTGCCCACCAAACTGCCACAAGACCGTTCGGGCCTGCTGACGTTCCAGTGGAGTGTGGCAGGACTGACTTGCAAAGAAAAATGATTTTGATTCGCCTACTGTCTGTCTGGATTTCTTGGCTAGCCATTCTACTGAGATGCCTTGCTAGATATTGAAACTGGATGATTGCTGTTTGAACAGTTGGCAACACCAAAGTGATGACAGGTCAAATCCACCATTTTTTGTTCCAAAAATGTAAAGAAAAAGTGGGATGAAGAAATGATTTAGACTTGGTCTGTATAGGTCAACAACTGAACAAATAAATAATCAAATTATACAATAATTGTAAAATGGACATCATAGTGTGAGAAAAGAATGGGACTGAATATGAAGCCTTGTGGTACTCCACAACAAATGATTCAATGAAGTTCAGTTTTTAATCAAAGAGCAGAAAATGTTATTGACGTTAAACATTTTTGATGATTTTTCTTAGAATCCTAAAGAGTTTTACACTGTTGGAAGCACATTGCAGTACTCCTGCATAGATGGGTTTTACCTCGTTGGAAATGCTGTGGCCACATGTGCTGAGAAATGGAACACAGAAGAGATGTTTTGTAAAAGTAAGTCTTATCGTCAGGAATGAGAGACTTATCTTTGTACATTCTTCCTACTGCTACGTCAGAAACAACATGCTATAGGGAGCCTAAGTCACTTCTACACCACAGGTTTCTGGAAGAACGACAAAATGAACGCAAGTCAACGGGGCTAAAAACGCTATTTTCTAGTTCCGCTTGCTTTATAACATGGATTTCACACATGATGCCCGTGAATTTTAAAAACGCATTTTGATACCAAGAACGCGCTTATTTTCGAACAGGGGGGAATGATATTTTAGGTTTTGTGAAATAAGTCCAGGGCTACAAATGCGCTTCACCAAAGTGACGTCATCGAACCAGACACGGAGAACACTGAAGGAAAAGGGCCGTAAGTTCAGCAAACATCCCACAGGAGGAAAGAACCATAAATCTGGTCACGTGGTAAGTAGCAGCTATGCCAGGGGGGAGGAGATTATGTGATGTCACATATGCGACGTGCCGATGTCCAGCGTACAGTCATGCTAATTACGAACTTTTAGAAGCTGATAAATCTCAAAGTGCGTGACTGGCGTAGTCGAAACACCCATCATTAGTTTTCATTTAAACTGCAGTACAACATGTGCGATCCAGGGCGTTAGGCAAAGCGGGTTAGAAAAAAAGTGCTTTTAGGCCCGTTGACTTGCTTTCATTTTTTCGTTCTTCCGGGGACCCGTGGTGCGGAAGTGTCTAAGGCCTAGTCCACACGTAGCCGGGGTTTTTTGAAAACGAATATCCGCCCCTCCAAAAACTTGCATCCACACCACCGCGTTTTAAAAACAAACTCTGTCCACACGTACCCGGATAAATACGTTGTTAAGGACATGCCAGACCTGTAGGCGGCAGTACTTCCCCCGTTCTTAACCTCGTCCTTCGTCTGTGGTCTTCCGCAAGGAGCAGTAATTCCGCTTGCAACAACAAACAAGCAAAAAGCGCTTGGACAATTGATAAAGCGAGCGCAGCTTTGAGGGCATCCATGCTGTCGGCTAGTGTAAACACAGGTCGCACACGTGATGTCAGCATTGTTTTGTCGCGGAAAGTGACGTTGCGGACCTTAAAACTCCGGTTTTGTCCGTCCACACGCAGACACCCAAAACGGAGAAAACGCAGATCTTCACTTTGGCCGGAGTTTTTAAAAAGATCTGTTTTTGTGTGAAAAAACTCCGTTTTCGTGTGGATGACAGGCCAAAACATAGAAAAATATCTACGTTTTGGCAGATGCCCGGCTACGTGTGGACAGGGCCTAAGGCTCCCTGTTAAAAATGTCACTGATGCTTTAACAAAAGAATGTCTTTACTGAAGTTTTCCAAAAAAATGTGACATTGTTGGAAGTCTTCAGTGACTTAAAATATTTTTTGTTTGATTATTTTTATTAGATTATTGTTTCCTAATTTATAAACTGCAAGGTAAAATATTTCACATTAGCTTTGCCAAAATGACTAAAACTGCCATTTCTAAATCGTCATTCTTCAATAGTCAGTTACTACGTTGAAGAATGTTTCTTTCCTGTTGCTCAAAATTCCTCTCCCCACAGGTTCCACATGTGGAAATCCTCCAATCAATGATTTAGTTTTGGCCATGCCCATCACAGAGGCCTATCAGATCGGAGACAAAGTGTCCCTGTCCTGTCCTGCTGGGTTTGTGCTGGACAGCGAGGAGTCAGAGGTGATGTGTGGCTCCAGCCTGCAGTGGTCTCCTTCGCCTGATCGGATTTATTGTAAACCAGGTAAATGAAGTCTAACCGTGTTCACAGCTGACCTTTAAGACCTAAACACAGCTAAGCGAGATCAGGGGAAGACGCTCCATGAAGGAATGCCTCTGGAACTTTTATTCACCTTTTTTTTTTTTATCTATCAAAGTAGCTCAAACCAGCAGGGATGGGATCACTGAGTTTAGTGTCTATCCAACCATGATGACTGAGAGAAATAGAAGTCAATGTTTAACAAAACTCAGGATGTGGTTTGCTCCTCAGTTTCAGTTAAACATCTGGCAAAGATCCCACACTCATCCAAGTTTTCCTTATATCCTCAGTTGCACCAGCGCCCCCTCCTGTCACTGCTCTGAAATGTAAACTTTGGGAAAAACCTGGAAAACACGGCTGTGTGTGTAAAATGCCAGTTCAGTGTTCGTGAGTATGATTTCTGAGAGCTGAGGGTTATATAATAACAATAACAACAACAATAATAACTATAACAATAAAAACAACAACAATAATAACAATAACAAAAACAATAATAACTATAATAATAACAACAACGACAATAAAAACAATGATAACAATAATAACTATAATAATAACAACAACGACAATAACAACAATGATAACGAAAATAACTATAATAATAACAACAACGACAATAACAACAATGATAACAATAATAACAACAACAATAATAATGATACTAATAATAACAACAATAATAATAAAAATAACAACTATCATAATACTAATGATAATAACAATAATACCAACAATAATAATAATAATCATAATATTAATAACGATAATAATAACAACCACAATAATAATAATAATAATAACAATAATATAATAATAGCAATAATAACAACAATAATAACAATCATAACAATCACAATAATAATAATAATAATACAATAATAATTATATACAATAACTACAATAATAATAACTACAATAATCATAACAACAACAATAATAACAATAACAATAAAAATTATAATAACAACAATCATAATAATACTAATAATAACAATAATAACTACAGAAATAATAATAATAATAATAATAATAATAATAATAATAATAATAATAATAACAATTACATCAATAATAAAAAATAATAATAACACTAACAACAGCAATTATTACAATAATAATAATAACCATTATGATAATTATAAGAAGAAGAATAACACTAACAACAACAATAATTATTACAATAACAATAACAACAATAAAAATAACAATAACAATAATAATAATAACAACAACAACAATAATAATGATACTAATAATAACAACAATAATTATTATAACAATAACAATAAAAAATAACAACTATCATAATACTAATGATAATAACAATAATACCAACAATAATAATAATAATATAGAAACAGTTTTGTTTACCTGTTTGTAGCTACGGTTTCGCCGACAGCTGCCGGCTTCTTCAGGCTGACGCTGATGGTGGCGCTCACTTCCTTCTCCGTTTATCTGCGGGCAGCAGAGGACGTTGTCGCCCTCTACTGCCCGCTCTCCCCTCTCCGACGATGCAGTCCCATGCGTGGTCCAGCGTGTAAACTCCGTCGTCCCTGTTCATGGTCCCACATCCACGTCTCCTTATCTCTATTGCTTCCTTGATCCATCTTTTGTATTTTTGTTGTTCAACAACGACATACTCATCTCACATGACGTCACATCTCTGTTCACAAAAACACCAACCCAAAAAACCATAGACATAGTAGTTAACAGAATCAGACAAGACAAAACTTTACACAAAAGGTCAAACCTCACAGCAGACGACATAGCACAACTGATAGGACTGGTAGCTAACTCCACTTACTTCACATACGACAACACAATATACAAACAACTGGAAGGCTTCGCCATGGGTAACCCGTTATCAGCCACCCTGTGCGAGTTTTTCATGGAAGACCTGGAACAAAAAGCCATAGCCACCGCCCCCCCCAAACTGCAAAATAAAACTATGGAAACGCTACGTAGACGACATACTGGAAATCATACCAAAAGGTCAAACAGAAACACTAACACAACACTTAAACAATATTGACGACACGGGCAACATAAAATTCACTTATGAGTTAGAAACAGAAGGCAGCATAGCATTTATGGACATGAAAATCACCAGGCAGACCGACGGGACCCTAAACATAAACACATACAGGAAACCAACACACACAGACCAATATTTATTATGGACATCAGAACACCCCACCATACACAAAATGTCAGTAATCAGAACATTATATCACCGAGCAAACATAATAACAGAAGAGAGAGACCGTAAACAAGAGGACAAACACATACAACACGCTTTAAAGACCTGCAGATACCCGACATGGGCAATAAACAAAGGAAAACAACAAACAAAAACAGAAAGCAAAGAACAACCCAAAAAAAGAACCAGAAACCCAGAAAGACAAGAACCAAAACCAGTGATAACCCTACCATACATCAGAGGCATAACGGAAAAAATAACAGCAACAATGAAAAAACACAACATAAACACACCAACAAAGCCATACACAACAGTTAGAAACAGACTAGTACACCCAAAAGACAAAATATCAGCTGGACAAAAATGTGGAGTCATCTACGAAATCCCATGCAAAATATGCAATAAAACATACATAGGAGAAACCGGACGCCAACTCAATACACGGACAACAGAACACAGAAAGGAGTGCGAGAAAGAGGCAAATCGTAAACACACAAGAGCAGCAAAAGAAGAAGCAGAAAGTACAATAAAGAAGTCAGCCGTAACAGATCATTGCTTAAGAGAAAACCACATAATGGACTGGGACAGCACACGGATCATAACCACTGAACAACAAAAATACAAAAGATGGATCAAGGAAGCAATCGAGATAAGGAGACGTGGATGTGGGACCATGAACAGGGACGACGGAGTTTACACGCTGGACCACGCATGGGACTGCATCGTCGGAGAGGGGAGAGCGGGCAGTAGAGGGCGACAACGTCCTCTGCTGCCCGCAGATAAACGGAGAAGGAAGTGACGCGCCACCATCAGCGTCAGCCTGAAGAAGCCGGCAGCTGTCGGCGAAACTGTAGCTACAAACAGGTAAACAAAACTGTTTCTGTGTTTAAAAAAGAACGAAAGCATGGATTTACAAAGACACAGCAAGAACACACCTAAGATAATAATAATAATCATAATATTAATAACGATAAAAATAACAACCACAATAATAATAATAATAATAATAATAATAATAACAATAATATAATAATAGCAATAATAATAACAACAATAATAACAATCATAACAATCACAATAATAATAATAATAATAATAATAATAATAATAATAATAATAATAATAATACAATAATAATTATATACAATAACTACAATAATAACAACTACAATAATCATAACAACAACAATAATAACAATAACAATTATAATAACAACAATCATAATAATACTAATAATAACAATAATAACTAAAGAAATAATAATAATAATAATAATAATAATAATAATAATAATAACAATTACATCAATAATAAAAAATAATAATAATAACACTAACAACAACAATTTTACAATAATAACCATTATAATAATTATAAGAAGAAGAATAACACTAACAACAACAATAATTATTACAATAACAATAACAATAATAATAATAATAATAACAATTAAAATAATAATAATAATGACACTAACAACAACAACAATTACAATAATAATAACAACCATAATAATAATAATAATAAGAATAACACTAACAACAACATTAATAATAATTATAATAACAATAACAACAATAAAAATAATAATAATAATAATTAATAATAATAGGTGTTTTGTTGCTTTAGGCCTTCTCTGCAGCTGTGCTCCAGAGTTGGATCTAGCCACAGATTGTTGGGAGTTTGTCGGCTTGGAGCTCTGAGATGTTTAGGAGGAACGTTCATGTTGACCAGAGACGCTGACTGTGATTGGCCGGAGGAGACTTTTGGATCCTGCAGGGACTGTAAACCAGGGACAACCTGTCAGGGTGAGTGTGATGAACTCCTTTAGCATCTCTGTAATGAGGATGGCCAGTTAGAAAGAAAATGTTATTCTTGCAATCTGATTCCAGAATCACTGAGGAAATGTACCTGTCAGAGTCCGTCAGAGTGTCCTGAAGACTCCGCCCCTTTGTGCGTCAGCTCTGATGGAGAGGAGGTGACCATGACTGAATGTGAGGTCGGGGCTCGGCGCTGTGCGGGTCAGAACCTCAGTGTGATCGGGATAGATGCTTGTCCACAGTGAAAATATATGAAAATGAATTTTGTGTGTTTGATTTGTTTTATTTTGTGAATAAATTTGGTTCTAGCAGCTGATCTGTAAATAGAAAAATATATTTGAGCTCTGTGTTTTCTACTTATGTCCTGATGAACGCTAACACCTCAGGTTGACAACTTTTGCTTTCTAAAGATAATAAAATGTCCTTCAGAAGATTTTTACCTGCCTGATTTATCAGTTTGATTATAATTCATTATATATGGATGAGTTCATGTTGTGATCGTGTAAGATGAATAAAGTTACGTTGAAATGACCTGAAAAAGGGTAGAAAAAGTGTTCTTGTGTAAAACAAAAAAAAAGATCCCAGTTTTATGTCAGGCTGGTGTTTATTTTTAGCATCATTTCAATCCATCCTTATTATCATTAACATTATCCTGATCCTGTCTTTCAAACATCTTTTCAGTCCAGACAACATTAATAGTTTCAGTCCTTTTGGAGACGAAACCTAAAACTTTAAACTGGCTCAAACGTTCATCACGAAACGTTCTTCCCTTTGCTGGTGGAGCAGAAACATCAAATGTTCTCTAGGCTCTGCTGCACATTTAGTGGAGATTTGGACTTTTAATCAAAACACGAAAACATTGCGAAGCTTTAATATTATTATTTATCTTGTTTACCACAATCAGAAAATTCTCCACTGATAAAACCAAATCTGCAGGGTTTGATTCTGCAGCCTTCGCAGAAGTTCCTCCACCAACCCAAGCGGATGCGTTTGTCTTTATGTAAACCTGACATCACTAAACTCTTATGTGTAAATGTTTGTGACGGGTTTGAGTCGACTTAATATAACATGCAGTAACAAGTCATCGGTTGGCTTTAGACATCCTCGTCAGGATCCTGCGCTGCAATTCCCCTCATGAAGGATCTCAAACGGCTGGTTGATGCATTTGAGGGCAGCTGTAGAACAGAGGGTCAAGCTGCGGGTCATCTGGGCCGTCAGCTTCACACAGAACATGTGCTCTCCGGTTCTGGGGCACTCACGAGCGGCTTTGCACTGACACTTCTTAGATGCTGGAGGTACAAGAAACAAGTGGGGCTGTTTATGAAACAGGATGGAGGGATCCAGAGCCCCAGAACCCCCCGAAGGCTGAAATAATAATGTAACTATAAACTAAAGTATTAACGCTCCTGCTGTCCGCGCTTTTATAGTACACAGCGCTCAGGTCACATTCACCCTAACCCTACTCCAGGGTTCTTAAAGGGACTTTACGGACTTTTGAATTTTTATGCTCGCGATTGCCCCCTCAGGCCAAAAGTGTAACGGCAGCTTGAATAGTAGGCTTGTGCACGAGGCGCGCGTGCTGTACGTGCACACTCCTTAACGAAAATAACAGCTGAGACAGTCGTGTGTGTGTGTGTGTGTGTGTGTGTGTGTGTGTGTGTGTGTGTGTGTGTGTGTGTGTGTGTGTGTGTGTGTGTGTGTGTGTGTGTGTGTGTGTGTGTGTGTGTCCCGGAGGACAGAGGACAGGAGAACGTGCAGCTAATTAATTAATTAATTTGGTTCTGTACCTTTCTCTTCAGCACAGCCGACAAAGGTTTATGATGGGTCAGTCCTCCTGCATGCTCAGATCATTCCCTTCCCTTGCGTGAAAAATTGTTCCAAAATGAAAGTTGAACCCACATCTTTTTAATCTGTGAATTCAATGCCGTTCGGCGAGTCTCAAATAAAAATTTGGGCGTCTTACTGTAAAAAAATATACCATTAATGTAAAAAAGAAACTCTAAATAAACTATGTTCACACCCAGAATCGAACCCAGGTCTTCTGCATGAGAGTCCGACATCTAACTAGATGAGCTGGACCACCACTGACATTTTCAGTATCTGTAATATATGCTTGATGACAGCTAAAACAACGTTCAGAGAACAGTTTGGAGCAAAAATGGCTATTTTGTTGCTAATTTGCAGGAAATATCTAGAAGAAAGTTCTACAGAAAGTAGCTAAGGGTCCTCAGAAATGTAGCTAGCTTTGTCACTAGGCGTTAGGAACAGCGACAAAGTGGCACTGCCTCTCTCTCTGCTGCTAAAGCTACGGATAGCAAATGCTACGGGCGATGCCTGAGCGTGAACGCGCATGAAGCAGCCTGCTCGACCCGAGCAGCTCTCTTTTTCTGTGATTTTACAGAAAAACAGGCAATCCCAGTAAAAATGCCAGGACTCATTCTACAGGACCAGGGCATTGCAGGAGAACGTATGAAGAAGACATTTATTATTTCTATACATGTTTTGGCTGTCACACTTCCATAATGTCCCTTTAAAGGTTCTTGAAATGTTTTGAGTCAAACGTATTTTCAAGGTTTTGAAAAGGGCTGAATTTTTTCTCCGGGGCTTTAAACCTTGCAGAAACCAGACTTTTTCATTTTTAAGGACCTTTAAAACTGAATCACCTGTGAATAATGGAGTCAAACTGAATAAAATATCAAATACAAGACGCCCAAAAAGAGAAAAGGTCCTCACAAACTAACCTGAGCAAGTCTCCCATTCGTAACACGTGTCCAGATTGCAGGGCAGCTGAGCCGAGCTTTTGGAGGACATCTTGGCTCGGAACCGGGCCCACTCCAGTTTGGTGATGTCTGCAGGGTTGCACGCACCCTCGTTCATATAGAGGAGTGGGTCGCCGTGGCAACGGGCAGCATGGAAGGAGCAGAGTGACACGGGCACCGCCACGTCGATGATCGCGTTCAGGACGCAGAGACTCTCCGGCTCGGAGCTGAACACGTGAGATGGGTCAGCGTCCAGAAAAGGGAGAAGAAACTGTTGTTTATGAAGCACCTCTCAAGATAAAAATCACAAGAATAAAAACTTATTTTAAAAATATCACAAAAAAAATGAGGGAAAAGGATGAATCTAGATTAAAATATGAAGGAAGACAGAATTGGTAGAAACAGCAGCATTAAGGATGAAGAGGAGGTCACGCCAAAGCCAGCCGGAACAGGTCGGCTTTCAGCTGCATTTTAAAGGAGACCACTGAGTCCACGGATCTCAGGCTCAGGAGAGCAATAGAAGAGAGAAAATCCTGATAAAAGATTAAAGAAGGTCTAAAAACCAACAGGCAGCTCTCCCGTTGGACGCAGACGCAGCGGGAACCCTGCAGCCTCTGACCAAGCCCACACTGAGAATCAGGAACAAACGGGTTCTCTGCACACACAAACATCAAACGTCATCGTCTAACTCGCGCTGGCCTGCACAAACAGCTCATCTTCAGCCAATCAGAGCACGTGTAGGACACAGAAACCACTTAGCTTCTTCCAGAACCAACCGTTGGTGCAGCGCAGGCCAGCAGGTAAGGGAGGCTCCCAGGTGAGCTTGGAGCCGCACCTGTACATGCCCCGGGGCAGCGGCATCAGGCCCGGCTCATTGCAGTTCAAACCAACAGATTCACCCACTCTGTACGAGTCTTTAGTGGGAAACAGCGTCATGTCGTCTGGGATTTCTGGAGGAACACAAAGCCTGCCTGGGGGGAAGGAGGACACTAACTTACTAAGGACACACCTGGCCCAGGTAGACAACACAAAGTTTTAACTTTCAAAATGTAATCATTCAACCATAACAACATCTGGAACGCGTCTTCAGTGTTCTCCGCTGACTTTATCCCACCAGCTGATGGTGTTAATCCCAGCTTGCCTGGTCTCAGCCCCTCATCACTAACCTCATCGGATTAGAGTTTAGGAGGTTTTGTCTTTAGTATTTCGGACGTGTAAACTATATCAGGGTTACAGAGGTGGGAAGTAACGAATTACATTTACTTGCATTACTGTACTTGAGTAGATTTTTTGCGCATTTATACTTTTTAAGTAGTTTTTAAAATCTGTAATTTTACTTTTACTTAAGTATTGTTTTTTACAAGTATTGTATTTCGCTACATTTTTTATCTTATCCGTTACCGAGTTAAAAAAAAACAACATTGCAAAATACTGTGTCGGCACGGTTCGCACTGGATTCAGACATAACCACAGAGAAGAGACGAGAGTATAAACATATACATATGTAGAAGCGTCTTAACGCACTCGAGAGTGATCCAGCACTTATTGAAGTGTTTATGTATAAATGTCCATACTGGTAAGACCCAAACACGGAAGTGCTGCGGACGCTGAAGGCGTGCACCAGAAGAACTGAGTGCTTAAGTTACGAGAGTGTTACGGGGTACGAAGGAAAGGAGAAGAAACACTAACTAACTACTCGGACGACTGGAGGATCACTTAAGAAGATCAAGGCTTGTGAGAAGGATTAATGAAGGGATGTCTGAGGGGTCAACAGGTGAGTTGAACTTCTTAGTGTGAAGCATGTGTTCAGTGACCTTACACTGCAATGAATGGTGGGTAGGAGAAGAAAATAGGCGCTAATGGTACGAGAAAGACAGCCTGGCCTGCCAGACTCCTCCTGTTTAATTCACGTCATACACGGCGACGCTCAATTTCTCATAAACAACGAAGACAGCGGCGGAGTTCGCTGCGGCTCTTTCCTCTGTTCTAAATGACACAGATGTCTTTAAAACCACAAGTAGAAGCGCTAAAAGCAGTTCTTCTAGAAAATAAAAGATGTTTGTGCCATTGCCAGATGCTATTTTTTTTACTACAACTAGAAATCTACCACGTCGTGTGGTACAGTCGGGATTTCCTTCTTTTCTCTGATTGGTCATTTTTGAGCTTCCTAGTCCCGCCCCTCAAGTGATCTTCCAGCTAAAAGAAAAACTCAGCCGACTGGAGACTGTCTCCAAGATGTGTCTGCCACTCTTCAGAGCCATTCAGGACGGTGTCATTCAGGGAAAAGTCATGGGCTTGTGACTATAACCTAATTTATGTTACTAGTTTGCAGTGGAACTGCCTTTGTACTTTAATGTGCATATTTGTTCATTTAATAATACAAAAATTGTCTTTTTTTAACTATTCAGAAGAGTCCGTCCTTGCACAGTCAAAAAAGTAACTAAGTAACTTTTACTCTGACTACATTTGAAATAAGCTACTTTTTACTTTTACTTGAGTACATTTTGAGGCAGGTAATTTTACTTGTAATTGAGTAAAGTTTCATGAAAGTAATTATACTTGTACTTAAGTACAACATTTTAGTACTCTTTCCACCTCTGCAGGGTTATTGTCGGGACATCTGCTAGCTCTAACTGGACTTGTTCTGTGTTTATGTGATGACAGACTCACGGTGGCACCGTCCTCTGGGCTGAGTCCACGTTCCGTCAGGACGACAGCTGATGAACTGAAAGCCTTCCAGTTCAAATCCGGTGAAGCACTGGAACTCCTCATCCTCACCAAAGTTATAGTACGGTTTGGCTTTCTGTTGGAGGCGGAGTTAGTTATCAACCATACAAGAACCAGAGGTCCAAGCATTCAAATGTGTTTGTCACTTCTTCGTGAAC